CACCCGTTCCCCACCATCTCAGCGTCCAGCAGCTGCTTCAGCTCCACGTGCCACGCCGGCCGCAGCCGCCGCATCGCCGCCAGCAGCACCTTGGCCGACACCACGCTCTCCTCCGACTTGGAGGCCAGGTACAGGCAGCCGGGCGCCACGATGCGGGGGTCGTGGCGCGCGTAGCTGCTGGTGACGTAGACGCGCCGGAAGTACACCACGGCGGTGGCGGCCACCCTGGTTTGGGGCGGCGTGGGCGGGGAGCGCGGTGCGAGTCTGGGTGAAAGCGCGAGTTGTGTGCGCGTGCGCATGTGTGCACGCGCGCACGCGCGCGCGCGCGCGTGTGTGTGTGTGTGCGCGCACGCGTGCGCGTGTGACATAAGGTGGTTGATGTTGCTGCCTGGACGAGGTTGGTGTGGAGTGAAGCGGGCGAGATGCTGACAAAAGAGTGCAGAGCTGTTTTACGAGGCGGCCGGGATAGGCTGTGGGGTCACATTGAGCAGCCGCCGCCCAACGAGGCGCATGGAGCGGCACCCTGGTCTGCTCAGGGCAGCTGGCACCGCGGCAGGTCAAGCACTTCTGCCCCCCAACGCCGACGACGCCTGCTCGTGAGGAGGCAGACCAGCAGCTGCGGGGCATGGCAGCAGCACCCGGCCCGCGCCGCACCTTTGCCGCAGCTTGGTAGAGTTGGCCAGGTCGAATATGTCTGCGGCAGCGTGGATGAGAGAAGAGTGGCGGCGGCAGCAGGCTGTGGGTGCGCAGGTGGGCGCGCCCACAGAGGGACTGCAACGCAAGTGCCGCTGCAAAAGCTGCGGCCGCCTGCACGGCTTCTGCTGGGGCGGCTCGGTCCTCGCTGGGCTCGTCGTCGCGGCTCCACCACAGCAAACCCCACCCCTTCAGCATGCCCGGCCTCCTGCCGCGTGCGTGCAGGCGGCCGCACATTGCGTGAAGTGGCCCTTGAGATGCTGCAGCTGCGCCTCGCTCAGTCCCCGCTGCCTGTCCTCCGCCTGGCACGAGGCCAGCGACTCGCGAGGCACGAGCCATTTGCTGCGGGGCAAGGAAGTTCAAATACAGCCGGCGACAGCGACAGTGGGAGCGCAGCGCATTGGAGTGCATGCGCGTCACCAGCGGAGAGCAAAGCGCCTGCAGCACCTGCAGCAGCAGCAGCAGCTCGAGCTGCAACTCAAATGTCTGCCGACCTAAGCAGAGGGCTTGCACAGTCCCACAAGGCCACACATGCATTTCTCACAGATGCGAGGACGTCCAAAAGTTGGCCGTCATCGCCCACGGGGCTCCTCCTCGCCGCGGAGCAGGTCAGGTTGTTCGCGCGCAACGCCGCGGCAGCGGCGCATGCTAGCACATAGTTCGCCGAAAGGTGTCTGGGAAGCCACGCATAATCTTGAATGTTGTTTGATTTGAAACGTCACAACTAACGCAGCTATGTATCACCCCTGGGCGCTGCGACACCGCTCAGCTTGAGCCCTGATCAACACATCTCCTCGATCATATGGGCGTCGCAGAGTGGTTGGTGAGTATCAGATTATACGGGCAGGTGTTGCCAACAGTGTGGACATCCGTCTGGGCCAGTAAAGCCACATAGGCGACGGTTCGTTCCCCTCATCCCCGGGACATTATACCCGATCCCCCGCAAGCCCATCCCACCTTCCATCCCCCTTGCCCGATTGCTTGGCCCTCCCACCACCATGGAGGCCGCCAAGCCCGTCCTCAGCATGCCGTGGGTGGACCTGCAGGCAGTGCAGGCTCTATTGCCTGTCTGGGGGCTGTTCCTGGCGGGCGTCCTGGTCGGGCAGGTGAGCAAATGACCCCTGCAACTATTGAAAAGTATGTCGCGTCTCGCGGCGTGCCCCGGCGCGACGCCAGCTCACATGCGCACCACTCTCCGTCGCCCCACCGAACAGCTGCTTCCGCGCATCTCGAGGGCCGTCCGGTTGCCCAAGACGCTGCCAATTAGCTCGCTGCTGACGAGGTGGTCCCAGGCGGTGCTGGTGTTCCACCTTGCGGTGATTCTCAAGTGAGCTCCGGCACATTTGCTGCTGAGGCCGTAGCCTCTAATCCGGGGGAATCTGGGGTGCGGGTTCGCTCCACGAGGCTTGTACATAAATGGATTGTCTCTTTGTGCCCCCTGCACGTGCTGAGACGCTGCTGCGGTGGGGGGCCCGCCTGGGCGCGCCGCTTGTGCGCCAGCTGCACTCTGCCCTCGAAATCGGCGCATGGACGCGATGTCGCAGCTGCTCCTGACGCATCGTCATCGCAAAGCGTTTATTGCATGTCTTGACGCCCTTCTCGCGTCCCATATCACCTCATCGCCGCCCGCCTGGTCTGTCGGCCCCCCCTCGCAGGGAGGTGTGGCACCACGTCGCTCACCCGGGCACACTGCGCGGCCTGCTCCGCGCGACGGTGCAGTGGGCGTGCGGCCGCGGCTGGTCCTTCCAGTGGCCGGCGTCAATTGGGAGCGACGGCCTGCTGGACGTGGCCAGCGACAGCAGCAGCAGCAGCGAGGGCGGCGAGCTCGCGCGCTCGGAGGGCGAGTGGTGAGCGCGCTGCGGGCGAGGCGTGGCGCGCGCCGGCTGGCAGCTGTGGAGCATGGTGGCTGTGCAAGAGGGTGGCACACAGGGCGGCCAGCAGTGCGCTCATGCGTGGGCAAAGGCCCGTGTTGGCATGGGCATGCAGCACATGATGCTCCCAACTGCATGACCCCTTCGTTCCATGCGGGCCGCTCTGTGACCTCCGCTCTTCAGGACCCCTCCACCCCGCCCCCGCCCTCACTCTCACCCAATATTTGCGCGCACTCAAACCTGCACACGTGCACACCTGAACACGCGCTCACCTGCACACGCGCACACACAGTCCTTGCC